TGCCCCCCCCCCCGCTCTAAAATCAATGAACAATCCTCTATTGAGAATTTTTAAAAAAACAACAGGATATGGCTTGAGTTCATCACATGAAAACTGTGTCCGAGTTCCCATTCCAGGACTCACTCACCTCCATTGCTGTCACATTCATGAGCCTCTTCATAGGTCTCCAGACTAGATATCCTGGTTGTGATGGATGCAGTGACCCTCGAGAGCTGCTGTGAAATCCACACCCAAACAGGAGGAGCAGAGGCTAGCTCTCAGGTGCTCCAAAGCCTTGTCTATTGTGAATGGACTAATCCCCAGTTTGCAACAGACAAAGCTTGCTCTTTCTTTTGGGTTGAGGAGTGCATTCTGGGTAAGGAAGGGTGGACAATCCCCATCCACAGCACTGCAGGCCCTGAAGCCCTGTGCTAGACCTTGTTTCTTGGTTTTCAGATGCCCCCTTGTGACTTCTTGTGAGAAGTGCGTCTTTTCTCTAGCTGACAGTGGCATCACCTATGGAGCAAATGCTCTGTGCCTAGCACAATCCTCATAATAGCCTTGCAAAGTAAAGGTTTCTTTTTCTTGAACAAGTCTTTAGATTTTTTTTCTGATTTACTTTTATTTTGAAATAATTTCAAACTTACAAATAAGTTGCAAGAATAGTACAAAGGATTCCAATGTATCCTTATCCAGATTTCCTCCAGTTGTTAACTTTTTTTTGTTAAGATTTTTTAAAATTGATTTTTACAGAGAGGAAGGGAGAGAGAGAGACAAACATTGATTGGCTCCTCCTGCAAGCACCCTACTGGGAATCAAGCCCACAACTCAGACATGTGCCTTTGGGAATCAACCAGCAACCTTTCCGTGCACAGGATGACACCCGACCAACTGAGCGACACTGGCCAGGGCCCAGTGTTAACTGTTTATTGTGTTTGCTTTTTATTGTGTTCTCTCTCTCCCCCATCTCTCTCTGGCTCGTGCGTACACTGCTGCCTTCAAGAAGATGGAACAGAACTTCCCACCCTTCAAGGGAGGACCTCAAAATGACTTCCCACCAAAATGTACAATCCAGGAAAGGGGAAACAAAAGTGACTTTACAATGGAGAAACCTGACAAACACTAGCTCAGCAGCTGATCAAGGTCAGTATCACCAGTGATAAGTCATATTGGTAGTATATATTTTTGATCTGATGTGATAAGAATGGCACTTTTCCTCTCTGGTCTTCCTTCCAAAATCTCACAGCTCCCAGTATAATCATAAGAAAAAAATAAAATCCTAATTGAGAGACATTCCAAAATAACTGACCAGTACTTCTTAATTTGTCAAAGTCATTAAAAACAAGGAACATTTGAGAAACAGTTGTAGTCAAGAGGAACCTAAGGAGACATGACAACTAAATGTAATGTGGGATTCTAGATGGGATGCTGGAACAGCAAAAAGACAGGTTAAAAACTAGGAAATCTGAATAAAGAATGGGCTTCTCATATAAGTGATGTATCAATATTGGTTATCATTTGTGACAAATGTACAAATAACTCATGGAAAGTGTTAATAACGGGGGAGACTGAGTGTGGGGTATTAGAAAACTTTACCTTCACAACTTGTCTGAAAATATAAAACTTTTCTAAAATAAAAATTTATTTTAAAACAGCGAAATGCATTTGTTCTGAAAACTTTTAATTAAAACTAATTGCTATCCTCCTTAACCCTCAGGTTTCTGAGTTGAGTGATCTTTATCACGGTCAGAGAATCCGCCCCAGTCCTCTCAATCCTTTCTTTCGCTCTTGTGGAAGGCAGAGCTGAGGTGGTTTGCTTAGGTAGGAAGGACTACAACTCCCAGGATGCCCCTGTGCAGTTGTCAGGAGCAACCAAAGAATGCAGACTTAACAGCTCTGCTGGAGTTAGGACTATCCCCAGACTGACTGCTAGCCAGCCATGGGCCAGGATTATTACGCTATACTCCAGATCACTCGAAATGCCGAGGATGCCCAGATCAAGAAGGCGTAAGTTGGGGCAGGGGCATGATTTTAGGAATACGCTGGGACAGGCCCCACCTTCATCTCTTTCAAATTGAGCTTTCCTGCACAGTTTAGGGCAAGTAAAGTAAACCTCAGTTCTTTCCTCGCTCCTTGCACACTTTAACATCCGGGCTCGGGGCTGGGTCAGGGTTCCCAGTCCATTATCGTCTATCCTCCACGCCCTGTCTCCTCTCTTGGGTGCCCTGGTTTTTCTAGCAATAAAATGGGGACAAAGGAGACACTTGAACTTTATTCTGACTATTATGGAGAACCAAAAGATTGCAAATGGAAGAGTTACCTGGCCAGAAGGATGTGTTACAAGTTTTATTTTGGCCATCACATGGGGTTTTGGTGTGGAATAAACTGCTAGTCTTGGATATAAACAAAACAGACTTTTGGGCAAATATTTATTGAGCGGCTACCTAATGGATTAGGAAATATAAATATGACTCAGACAGAGATACAGCTTAATTTTGTTGGTGAATACAGATGTTGTATAAGTCACAAGTGTGATGAGTATTAAAAAAAAAAAAAAAAGTGTGGCAGGGGGAGTACAGGCTGCTGTGGAAGCTTATGCTGGAAAGAGGGAGACCCCTTCAGAGGCTGTCATGATAATCAAGGCAAAAAGATGAAGCTTGAAGTAGGGCAGTGGGCTAGCAAGCAGGCAAAGAATAGACTTGACAATTAATTGGATAATTAGAGGGTAAAGAAAAAGGGGGGAATCTAGAATAATTCAATCAATTAAGGTTGGGTGGTGATAATAGCTACATTTATTGAATTGTACAGATGCTGTTCTGAGTACTTTCCATTAGTATTTCATTTAATCCTCACGACAACCCTGAGAGGTAGGTGCCATTATTAGCCCAAGGCCACCTGCCTAGGAAACAGCAGAGCCAGTATTATTCAGACACCATGCCTGCTATTGTTGCTGCCGTGGGCCAGGTCCTGTAAGGGATCTAAGCGACGTAAGTGGAGAGTCTACAGTGTGGTTGGAGAAACAAGACACAAACTCATGAAACGATTAAAGAACAATGCAGGACAGTGTGTCATGCCACCCACTGTTCAGAGGAGTTCATTGGCTATTGGGAAACATCAGGAGGGAGGGCAGCTGGAATCCAGAAAGATAAGCCCAACTTAAGCACTGGAAAGACCTAGGCCTGAAGCCAGGTTCTCCTCCCTGCTAGCTGTTTGACATGGGCAAATTAACCTCTCTGAGCCTCAGTTTTCTCATCTCTCTCTAAGAATGGAGAGGAGGTTGTCATGGTATTGAAATGAGATTGTACGAGATAATGAACACGAAAATGCCCAGCAATCATTTACCAGATAATGAACATGAAAATGCCCAGCAATCATTTACATCTGAAACTATGTCATAATAGTGATTAAAAGAACCGAATATGTTTCAAACAACAGTGCTTAACCCTTTCCCCCCCAACAGCCCTTAAGGGATGAGTCATATGTATAACACACTGTCCCATAGGAGTACCTAGATTTTGCCTCCCTCAAAGCTAAACTTATATAACAATGATTCATAATCACTCAGCAATTAACCTTCTCATTATCACTCATTCACTGTAGGCTGCCACAACGGTGCTCTGACTCTACCCCTCTCCCACTCAGGAAAGCAGGTGAATGAGAATCACATTACTGCAGAGATCATTTAAAAACCACGCAAGTTTATATGAAAAATTGAACTCTTCTCAAATCTCCTTACTTTTACTCACTGATAGAACTGACTTTCGATTCTCCTCATAACTTAGTTGAGAAGGGATGGGTTAGAAGTCTCAGGGAGGTTGTGACAATTGTCTTTAAGTCTCTCAAGGTAGACAGAGCAGATTCTCTTTACAAGGCCTCCAAGGGCTGAGTCAGGACCCTCGTGGATTAAGAGGTAGAGTTGCAGCACAGCAGACCCACCCACCTCAGTAAGAGTAACCGTTGCCTATAATTTGGAGCAGTCCCACAGTGAGATGGGCTGCCTTGTGGGACAGTTATTTCACACCATTCATTTATTCACTGCTACTCAATGCTAGGTACTAGGGACACAGAGAACTGGACACAGTAATTCAAGGAACTCACTGGCTAGTGGGAGAGACAGACCAGTCAACAAACAACTGGAGGACCACATGACAAGTACTGGGATCAAAGGCACTGGGGACACAGGAAGGGGTGACTAATTTAGAATGGAGGCTGCAATCAGGGAAGGCATCCTGGAGGAGTTGATCGCTGAGTTGAATGTTGAAGGATTAATAAAATTTGCCAGGAGGAGAAGGGAGGGGCTGTAGAGGGGTGAGTGGTATAAGTAAAGAAGTAGAATGTTGAAGGTATGGGCAATGCAGTGTGGGGAGTTTGGACAGGAGGGGTCATGGGAGCAGAGAAGGAGAGATGTGATGAGGAGGCCAGAAGAAGAAAAGTAGGAGCCTGAATCTTAGAGACCTTTGGATTTTATGCTGAAAGACAAAGGGGAAACCAGGGAAGGATTTAAACAGGAGAGTGACTTGGCCAGGGAGCATTTTAGAAGCATCAAATTAACAAAATAGATCAAACCAGTGGTAGCACACAGAATAGATTGGAGAGGGAGAAACCAGAAACAGGAAGACACGGTTCTACAATAGCCGTGGGAATGAAGAGGCAGGAATGGGACATTAGTCAGAAGGAAAAACCGACATGCCTTAGTGATGATGGGATGGGGGTGGAGTGGAAAATCACTTGGAGTCAAAGATAAGGCTCAGCTTTTTGGTTGCAGTGTCTGGACAAATGGGGGGGGGGGGGTCTGGAAAATTAAGGAATGAAAAAATTTTCAGCCCAGCCGGGCGTGGCTCAGAGGTTGAGCGTCGACCTAGGATCCAGGCGATCGGGGTTCGATTCTGGTCAGGGCACATGCCCGGGTTGCAGGCTCCATCAGTGACTCTCTCATCATTGATGTTTCTCTCTCTCTCCCTCTCCTTTCCTCTCTCTGAAATCAATAAAAGATATATTTTTTTAAAAAAAGAAAAAAAAGTTTTCATGGTTGGACTCATTGAGTCTGTGAGGCCTGTGGGATACAGGAGAGGAGATACCAAGTGGGCAGCTGGATACAGAGTCTGGAGTTCAGAGAAGAGACGTGGTTTGCCATAGAGACTTAGGGGTCATCAGCAAGTAGGTGACGCTCAGAGTGTGGGATAGGTGAGCTTCTCCATGAGAGCGTGGAGAAGGGAAGCAGCAGAGCTCTGGGGACACCAGCATGGAAGTGTGAGCAGGCAGAGGAACTGTGCTCTGACCCACAGCAGAGGGCATGTGGAGTCAAATTTGTACTGAGCAACTTAGGAGGCTGTGCTGATGCCCCCCCCCCC